ACATAGTGCACGATATCAGGTCCAAGTAGTTGGTCTGGCATGGTCATGTGAAAAGGATGGCAGACAATCGGTTGCCCAAGCAGGTTTTCGATTGGGTTCCTCCCCAAAGGCGACAGCGTAGACGTCCCGTGAAAGGTTGGCGACAAGAGGTGGAGGAGATCAGAAAGTGCCAATTGCCTGATGATCTCTGCATGGTGATAGGGGGCAATGGCGATTGGGCGTCGCAGAGCGCGAGGCAGCGCCGTGAAAGCGGCTTAATGTATGTATGATAAACTTTTGTTTCTTATTGTTATTGTCTCTTTTTTTTCAGAAAAATCAAGTCAATCAAGAGACCCCTATAGAGACCCCTCTAGAGACCCTTCACGAGACCCCAACGCTTACGGTCCACCTAACAGTTACTGCCCTCAGCCTGGTAATCTCTCAGCTTGCTCCTGTAACCAAGGGTAAGTCAGACATCTCTCTTTTTCACTTAACATTATTGTAAACTAGTTTTGGAGGAATTTTTTTATTTGCCAAAAGGTAATTTTTTTTTCCTTAGCCTGTATTACTTTCTCTCGGAGATGACGCAGCAACTCTGAGTTAACTGATTTTAATGTAAATACTAAAATCCGCATAACATATTCACAAGTTGACTCTGAAAATTTCCAGTTCTTGTAACTACCTACAGGGAAAGGGACCATAGTCTGCAACATTTCTAAATGAAATGTTTTATGCTAATTCATAAAAGAGTACTCTCGAAACATTTGAAGACAATTAATGTCAAATCAAATCAGGGTTTAAACTTACAAAGTTCAAAAAAATGCTTCAAATCATCATAGTTTTGAGGAAATGCAATTTAAAAGAAGGATCTGCCTTGTCCAAGGCACTTGCTCTGGATTGCCAAATTGTAAAGCAATTTCACATCTTCTATTGGTAGAGAAATTAATTAAATAAACCCCTCACAAATTAGGATCCTGTCAACCATGACGTCTAACAGTTTTCCGTAAAAATCTCAAAACCTGTCTCAATCAATCTGGACAAAAATCGATGTGCTGAAAACTCTGCCCCTAGAATTGGGCCCTATCCTCTGCAAATATTTACAAATTCAATAAAATTTGCACAAGCTTTTGATGGAAAAATATGTCCCAAAATGTTGTAATTCTTCTCCTTCCTATCAAAAGGATTATTGCTCGTTTGATCAGACTATCAAGTTCTCTAAATATGCTACTTTAACTGCTGTATTATTTCCTGTTGAAACTTTCTTATTCCAGTTATTTGAAACAGTACAAGGATGAAACAAGTGGCAGCTTTTACTGCACAGACATCGACGAATGCAGTATGATGCCACCCATCTGTCCGTCACAAGTTTCCATTTGTCGCAACTACCCAGGAACCTATGTATGCACCTGCAGGCCAGGTTACACTGGAAATGGTTACAGTTGCTTCCGTAAGTTTTATTTTAGTTTCTTTTGTATATAAAGGCTGATTTTGATTCCAGAGCATTTTGAATTACTCAGCATTCATCCCACTGAATCTTAAGATTTGGCTCGTCAGTGTGAATAATCAATGCTTTTTCTTAATTAAATGTTGTAATCTAAAAATCCACCATTTTGGATGGATTCTATTTGTTCCCACTTCTTTTGTACTTAATTTTTATTTTTCTCAAATTCTGAAGAAAGTTGCCTCATCAATTTTAAGTCAAAGTGTTCTCACTCCTATCACTTTGAACTGTGAGGCTAACATGAAATCTTTCCATTCTGCATTTTTTAAAACCCGTTCTTCGTACCGTACCATTCAAAGGAAAAAGAAGCTTGTTGCCAAAGACATTGAAATCTACGTATTGGCATCTCTGCACATAGAAGGGTATTTAAATCATTTTAGCTCTTAAACCGCAAAAATTGTTTAACAAAATCGGAAATAAGACAACTTGAAGTTTGCAGTTCAAAAGATTAGCTTCAAGGGAAAATTATTTGAAATCCTTATATTGCTATGTATTTCAAGCTGAATATTGTCTAATCGTAATACAACCTTATGCTTTTGGTCCAGACAAAAATGATTCGAACAGTTCCCAACCCATTCTCTAAAACTCGAAAATCTGCTCAGTCAAAAACTTCAATTCTGATCTCTTAACCCAATTCGACAAAAATGACCCTCTTAAAAGAATCTCTGTCCCTTTTTCCGTGAACTATCACATATTTTGAAATCCCTCCAATTTGAGAACTCTTTATTCCAAACAGTGCTTTGACACCCTCACCCTTTAATTATCCAGCATATTTTCTGCTCAAAACAGTTTAAAGTAATTTAAATAAACTTAAAGTGAATTGCAATTTCCTTCTTGAGTAACTTACTTCACATTTTGGTTGAAAAGCAGCTCTAGATGAGAGACCAAGAGAGACTTGCGCTCGAATCTCATGTCCAGCTGGAGCCGAGTGTGTGGAAAACAGAGGTCAAGCGTACTGTGCCTGTTCGCCTGGATACACAGGAGATGGAACTCTGTGCACACCTCTACCAACCAGCGGTGAGTGTCATTAACGCAGTGCTCAATCCATGAGTATAGTTGCTGCTTTTGTGTACACAAGCAATTTAACTTTGTTGAGTCTTGGCCATCAGAAGCAACATTGATGCTATTGTTAATTAATTTGAAAGATAATGAAAATTTGTATCATTGGCTTAGATGAAAGAAAGGAGGAAAGGTATTTTATGGAAGAATGGAATTAAGTTAACGGTTAATTTAAAAAATTTGGCATCACAACTTTTTTTATCCTTTCCAAGATTGCAAACATCCCAAACTTTGTCCAACTTTTACATAGTATGAATGTGCACATTTTTTTTTCTACATCAACCAAATTCAAAGCATTCTCCTGATGTGTCTTGCTCCCTTTTTGCATCACCTTATCCTAAATTACTGCATAAACATCAGCATGTGGGAGTTAGCAACCAATAAGGAATCAGCATCTAGCAAGTCTTGCGGCAATCACCAACAGATACATGCATGGTTTCTTTCTAGTTGCTCAGTTTTTATGAAATACTTATGCATGTATACCATTCATTTTTGCTTTGAAAACTTATTTCTGTCCGCCAAGATATTGGTTTTGCATTCGTTGTAATTTGCTCTGCCTGACGCCACGTGAACTGCACATGCTCAGCTATTCGAGGTCTTACCTTCTTAGAAGAATAATCAGGACTCGACTCAGTCATCAATTACCAATTACTATGTCTTCGTTCAAGGGCTTCAATGAAACTAAAAACTGTAAGAATGAAAAGAAAATGTGTTCCCCAATCAAAATTTGACAGAGAGACTGTTTTAAAATTATTAAATATTTTTATTGAGATGTACACTATCCGAGTCATTTTGTTTGAATCATTCATCTGAACAATTTTTTTGGAAGTTAAGACCATAAGTTTTAAATATATCACAACTGTTTGTCAGCTTTGCTGAGTTTTCTGCTGAAACGCTGGTTTTAGAATGTGCCTCTATGCCTATTCATACCTTATTTCCGCAGCATCTTGCAACACTACCCACAACTGTTCGCCTTATGCCGACTGCTTATACAATCCAATGACCAGCAGCTATGAATGTAAGTGCCTCTCAGAATTCATCGGAGATGGTTACAACTGCGTTGATGCACGTCAGATTCAGCAGTCAACTCACAACAAACCAGATACCACAGTCCCAAGCTGCCTGATAGGCAAATGCTGGTGTCCAACCGACTACATCTTACACAATAATCTCTGTGTCAGGTCCAATTTCGCAGGACAGGGTGAATCTGATGGTATGTCATAGTTTAACTCATCAATTAAACAGAATTTTGAAAGATGAAAAACAAAATATGTAACAAGTCTCCTGAATTTTTAACTTGATCTTGTTGGATACGATTATCCTAAAGATATTGAGCTAATAATCATCGTTCAGTTTAGATGTGTTCAAATTAAATCAAATTTCTTTGAAGAGTATATAAGCTGCCAAGACAGTTGAGCCAGTAACAAGGGTTTCATATTCAGGAGACGCAGACCCTTTTCCTATCTTCATGTGCCCCACCACGAAAATACATGAATTTGCTCCTCACCATTGGGAGTAAAGTTTTTCTGCAAGTTTCTCTACAAACAGACTAGTCTTACTAATAATTATTCTCCATCTCTCAGTTTTCAAAAGTCAACAGTAAGTACCTTTAGGTTTGAAGGAGGGCGGAATTTACATGTCATCGTTCGCACTCGTAGTTCAACACACGTCATCAACATACAGTTTAAATGTTTTTTATGAGGTTGATTTTCGTATCCATATGTATTTCTCATTGAAATATTTGAGTTAAATCATTCAGTCTCTGAGGAGCCAACTTCAGGAAAATCTCTACTCTGACAGATTCCAGTGGTATTCAGGTGCCACAGAGCGCCCTACTGTGCTGTAAAAGCAACTAATACATGCAAACAACATTCAGAGTTTGGGGCTGTACAAAAATTATATCTTGCTGAAATTCAGAATGTCTGATTGCCCACCTTCCCCTCCACCTGCCTTGTCACTCACCCACCAATGCAGGTCTGAGCTTCCCCCTTGCCTTGATCAAATCGCATCACAAAACTACATGATGCTGAAAAATCATATTTTATCCTGACAAAAGATTGCAGCTTTTTTTTGCTACCCTTTTTGCTCTAGTTGTTTCTGCATGTAGTGTAGGGTTCTGGACGCATGTATGTGACTTGTTACAGAAAGCTTGTTCCGGTGAAGAAATTAAAATTTCTTTGAATTTTCTCAGTAAACCTGTTAGTCACTCAAATCAAATACATGCTACCCTCAACTGAATGTAACTTGACTTGCTTTTCTTATCTTCAAGCATGGGCCTCTAGACACAGTGCGAATTAAAACACTATGCAACATGGATCCTTTTCAAAATTTTGCAAAGAAAAACAAAGTACACAACAAGAAATCTGGAAATGAACTCCTTAACAAAATATAAGTGATTATAATTGGATGTATTTCTGCTGAGCTAGGCGCCATAGGAGAAGAAAGGGAATGCATTTTGGAGTGGCAGGTGCAGCCAAGCGAAAAGATCACTCTGGCCTATGCTCATAATGCTTTTTGGTGGCGCTTAGTTCCATTAGACAGAACGCGCTATCTAGGATTCTAAAATCCTCAAAAGAAACTCAAATTGGCGCTGAGTTTTGTTTAGCAGAAATATGTCCAATTATCATTGTTCAAATGGCAAAAATACAAATGATGACATTTGTATAATTTAAGTTCCATTTGATCTGTGTTAAAAATACTGGATGGTGTTTCGTTCAAGAGTTGATTTTCGAACTTCCCGTTGTATGAGTTGTTTTCCACGTAAGATTTTGAAGAGAAAACATGTGACATGTTTATCTAGTGACCTATTCTCAATTTTTTCTATTGTGAATCTGATTTTGAATCCTCACCCCTTCAATTTTTACAGTTTCTTGCAACACAGTGAATCGGTGCCACTCTCATGCTCAGTGCGTGTACACAGGGCGTTCTTTCCAATGTAAGTGTAATGCTGGCTATGAAGGAAATGGATTTGAGTGCACAAAAGTTGGTAAATACTCCCAGCAAATTATTTGTATACACTTTTTTTTCATGTTTTTATTTCTCATAATACGTTTCGAAGAAAAAGAACAGTTTAACTATCATTCTGTTTGTTCAACAATTAAATTTTACAGAAAAAAAAAATAGGTACATAATATGTAAAATTTTTAAAAACACTTAGTTAATGGTGCTTTGAATCAAATTTACTTCAAAGTTTCCTGTGCCAAGAATTTTGATCAAAGAAACTCGATTGTCAGCTTTGCTTTATCAGTTTGAAATTTTTATGAGACTGAGACTAATTGTTTCAATGTTCTTTTTTCTTCTTCTTTTTTTAATTTTACAAAACAACTTCTCGCCACTTAACATAATCAATATTATTTAAAGGTTAATCTGCGTTCAAGCCGTCTCTAAAAACATCCTTAAGTCATTTTTCAATCAACAACTGTCTTATTGTACCTCGCTCTAGTAACTAAATTGACAAACATTTTGAGAATTAAACCTTGCACTATTTCGTTTTGGTATTGTTTAACTGTGTAAATGTGAGTTAATCATTCAATGAATTTTAAGTCGTTTTTATATAATTGTGAAGAATTGTCTCTCAATAAAATACAAAAAAGTGTAAGTTTAAAGCAGAAGAAAAATAAATGAACTTTTAAGTGAGAATGTAAAATTTTAAATTATCAAGCATCAAAATTTCCTAGACTTCTTCATTTAATTCTAAATCAATATTAATATTTAATATTCATTTAATTGATATTTTCCAGAAACATCCTGTTTAGATTATGATCAGTGTGACACTCATGCGTCCTGTGCAATGAATACAACTCTGAACCGGTATGTGTGTGTTTGTAACCAAGGCTACGAAGGTGACGGAACCAGGTGCTCTGAAATTGGTAAGAACCAATCAACTATGGTGAAAATTTCTTCAACGATAGTAAATGCAAAAACCTAAAAACAGAAAAGTTGTTCGGAGATTTTCGGGTCATTCATAAATTACAGTATGTACCAGGAAATTTTTGACCACTCGACCAGTGGTTGTGTGCAAATATGGGAAAGCCACACACACCCCCATTAATATTGCCTATTTTCGGCAGAACCGAGATGAAAATTGGACGTATTTCTATCAAACGGAACTATGTGCATTGAGACATGAGCCCTGAGACCCATAAGGATATGTGCATAATAGGGCTCACGTCATAATGCACATAGTTCCATTTGATAGAAGTACGTCCAATTGTGTGTTTTTTCTAATACCGTAATAGAAGCAACATATTTTTTGCTGACTTGCAGCAGTTTGTATATGAGAGGAACAAGAGGGCATCAATTTGAAAAGTAGGAAGGCCAATTTGCAAAATGAGAAGGCTATTGGTGAAATTGATTGGAAATGGATTTTTGAAATTGTAATAAACATTATATTCTTCGACATAATAAGGTTTCATTTGACATTCTGAGGCATTACCAAAATATTTGTAAGTACCTTTAGTGCTTTACTACTAAGGTTCCTTTTTCTGTGAAAAGTTACAGCTAACTGCTAAATTATGAAACTGATTTTAAAGAACTTTTGATTTTTCTACCCAGCTTTAGGAGCCTGTGGCAACTGTGGAGCCTTTTCAGAGTGCGTTTCTGTGGAAGGAACAGACCGTAAAGAATGTCAATGTATCGCTGGTTACATCAATTATGGATCAATTTGTCAACCAGACACTGAAGGTAAGAAATACCAGAGGACATTAAGCTTTCCAAGGCTTTACCCTATAAATGAAAAAGTATAGTAACAATCACTGAAGTCTCATTTTTTCATTAAAGAAAATTTCGAATATAACTCCAGAACCTATTGCATGCTTTGTCCAGCTTGTAAGCCCGACACTAAAGTTCTTCCTTAGCACTCCGTTGGTCTCTTGAGGCCAACATGGGCTTAAGCATGCTAATTCTTGTCAGAAGTTGATAGCAAACTGTTGTCTGCTGGGTGCATACCCCGAGTCCAAAAAATGTCAACCCTGGTTGTAGAGATTTCTGAATCTGAAGTATGATTTTGTCAGCTTTGAGACTTCCTGTAAATTTCTTCTGGATTGCAAAAAATATTCTCAAAAAATTTCAAATCTGACTTCTGGTTAGTTCTCAATTAGAAAAATAAAAAATGAGAGAAAATCTGGCAATGTCTGATGTAATTAAACTGGTCCTGGTTTTTGTCTAAATGTTCCTCCCAAATCTTGAATGTACGATTAACAGCAGATTTGTTTCTCTCAGATTGCGCACGCTGCCATCCAGATGCTCAGTGCGTCATCAACCCACAGTCAAATGTGCTTCAGTGCCAGTGTTTGCCCAATTTCATTGGTGACGGTGTGAATCAATGTGAGAAAAAGCCACTCGACTGTCACTCCGCCCCCAACTGTTCACCCAGTGCCAACTGCATCTTCAATCACTCGCTGAGTCAGTATAAGTGTCAGTGTATGAAGGTAAGTGAAAATTCATTTTGCAAATTCATCTTCCAATGAACTCTTCATTAGATGTTCATACCAGCATTGCTCTGATACCAAGTGAATTGAAGTCCCAAGTACAGACAATCTACCTTTTTTGCTCTAACTTAACCCCCTCCATGTTGTTACCTTGCTGTAATTTTGAAAGTCGTTTCTTAAAATTTTAAATTCACAATCAGAAAATATAAGTGATAAATGACTCACTGGCACTTTTATGTATATATTTTTGTTTAAATTTAATTTATCTTGTGCAATCCATGCAGTACATACGTTTTTACGTTTTTATTAAACTTCTGACGTTTTATTGTAGGTATTAACCTCTTGTGCAATTTTAAGTGTGGAGAGATTAAAACTATTCTGGATACATTTTAATGCCTCAAATTGAATTTTATAAAGGGATATCAACTCATTTTTTTATGTAAAAAATAATTTTTTATTAATTCTCTGTGAGTTTTCTTCTAACTGTGCAGGGATTTGAAGGAGATGGTTATGAGTGTCGACCTGTCAGAACTTGTATCGAGGACAAATCTATGTGTAGCAGAGATGCATCCTGCGTCCTCAGTAAACTGGGAGTTTTCCATTGTGAATGCAATGAAGGCTTTTATGGAAATGGATACGTCTGCAAAGGTTGGTATTTATTGATGATCGCTTTATCATCGCACACACATTTAAAAGCTCAATTACAGTGATCGATAGTTATTACTCTCAGAATAAGGCTGTTGGAGAACAACCATACTTTTTTCTTACCAACTGCTAGGCATCATAAAAGAAGACTCTATGAGCAGTTTATTATCTCTATTCATTTAATTTAATACGTATTTTGCGTTTTTGAAAAGTTAGAGTCTATTTTTTTCTTGTATGTAGTAGGCATGTTGTCTTATGCTGCAGAAAATATTAATAAAAACCGAAGTTTAAATGTTCTCACTTTCAAGATTGACTATAAACAGTGAACAAAAGCTGCTAATTTTAGAATTTTTCATCAATTTCTGCATCATCGTTTCTCCTTATCAATTTTGCAGAAGTGCATCAACCTGATGGAGACTTTCTACTCCTCAATCAAGGGATGACAACAATACGTCTGCCTTTCAATCCATCAAAGAATGACACCCCTCGACCCATCCAGCTTCAAACTAATCAAATCGCAATCGGTAATTATTTCAATAATATAATTTCAATAATAACTTGGTAATTATTTAAAATCTTTATTGAAGCCTAGACATCAGATTCTTTAAAAGCTTTAGCCTGGTCAATTTTTGTCTACTTTGATTTTTTCACTCTTTAAAATTTTCCAAGAAACTCCTAATGACTTTTATCTGGAAGTCCGTTAAACTTTCTTCAATTAATGAATTTTTTCTTTATTTTGAGTTTGAAGCACGATATTGCAAAATCATGCTTATGAAGTTTCTTCCAGCTGCCAATTTCTTATTCCAGGTATTACTGTCGATTGTATGGAGGGCCGTGTCTACTGGAGTGACATCAGTGGCAGAGCAATCAAAAGTTGTAAATTCAACGGCAAAGATGTTCAAGACCTAAATATCACAGGTAAGCCATAATATTCTCTCCAGATCCAAATACTCGGTATGTATATAAACTGCTTCAAAGTAATCTCAGTGCTTGCCTTTTCTAGTATCTAATAGTCAATATCAACGTAACTAATGAAATGACACAGATATCTATCTGTAAACTCATACACTCATAGAACATGAAGACCTTAAAAAAGTAGTGTGTTTGTTTTAATTTCCATGATGTACATAAAGAAGAAAATTTGTCATTTAAGGAAAAGAGATTTTAAAAACAAATGAATTTATTGAACACAGCTGTAAAAAATTAATTCTGTCAATTAATGAGAATTGAAAGGAGTTATTCGTCTTCCTCTGAAATCTGGACGTGAGTTTTGTTTTTGAAGAATTTTGCTCCTATTCATATAATGAGGCAATCAGTTTCCTCATTTTGTCGTATTTATGTGTGGTATCTTTATGATTTAGTGTATCATTTCAGCTGTGCCTCGTGGTCGAAAAGGCGGTTAGTCTTTTTTGTTGACAAATATTTTACCTCTGTCAGAAAAAAACATTGAACAGAACTTAACAGTCTCTCTTTTGTTTGAACAGACGTTATATCGCCTGAAGGACTGTCCGTAGATTGGATCAACCGGTTTTTGTACTGGACCGACTCTGGCAAGAAGGAAATTGCTGTTGTCAATCTGGACACCAAACAGAGAACAACTCTAATCAGCAGCGGCTTAGTGAACCCGAGAGGAATCGCAGTGCACCCTTTCAGACAGTAAGTTTTTTACTTCAGCCTACTTCCATTGTTGCCTTTGTCGGGAGGTGGCTACCGCCACCCATGATATTGCAAAATCAGAATAAGCCTTGCTGGAAGCAACTTTCTTATACCTATTCACCATTTAAAATATTTTCTTCTAAAAAAAATTCTAATGCTCTCTGCTATTGTTGCAATGGGTCTGTTTCAAAATTTTTCCAGATTGAAAAAGAGAGCCACTCTGTCTGTAAAATTTCTCAGAAAGTATAATAAAGTTACGAGTACAAGGGAGATCTGAACTTCATTCCTCACCCGTGCCTCATTTAGTCTCTTGCAACTTGAAATCTTTTTAGTTGTCCCTCTCTATTGGGAAAATTTTGTTTTGACTCCTATTCTTTCTTACAATGAACCTCCTGTTATTTAAGGAAAATATTTTGGTCCGACTGGAACCGCAAGAGGCCAAAATTAGAATGGGCCAATCTGGATGGTTCAGATAGAGCTGTATTTTTAGAAGGCAACTCTGTAGTCCTACCAAACTCTTTAGCAATAGACTGGGATACGGACGAATTATGCTGGGCTGATGCAGGCACCAAATCTATCGGTAAGCATTACAAAACTCCCCTGGTATCAATGACTCTTAAGAAATTCTCTAAGGAAATACTCTTCCGAAGCCTGGAAAAGCCTTTTTATTTAGTAACCTCTTAAAAGTTATGTAACATTTAAATAAATGAAAAAAATGTTGACATCAAAATATTTTCAGTCAAATGAATATTCATGTGTATTAATATGAAATGGGAAATAATTTTACCGCAAAGTATGAAACATAAAGATTTTCATAGTAAATGCGTCAAGAGGATGAAAACGTGACCCCTAAAACAATAAAAAAGTAAAGAAATGGCTGCAGTATTATACAGTGCCTGTCAACAATTTCTTCAATCATAAAATAAGTTTGTGATCGAAGTAGGATTTTTTTATTGATCAACAATGTAAATGCGCTTGCCCTCAACAATTGACAAGAAATTGTACTTTTTCAGAATGCGCTAGTATTGATTCTCGAACGCACCGATCTGTGGTTTCAAACTGCAGCTATCCATTTGGCTTAGCAATTACCCGAGAAAAGTATTATTGGACTGATTGGATATTGTAAGTATTTATCAAAATCTCTCAACAGTAAATCATTAGATAAAGTAAGAAACAAGGCGTCACAAGAGCTCATCTGAAGCTAACACAAAGTAAATGAAACCTTGAAATGTCTGAAATCAACTTGTAGGAAATTACCTCAAAATCTAATCGAATCATTACCAACACGCTGTAATCGTTACGCAAAATTTCACCGAGGAACATTTTGAAATAAATCTACAAGTACGTCCCAAGTGAATACATATTGCTAATCAAAAGTCAAAACAATTTGTGATATTTGCTCAGGATGTACTTATAGGGTTATTTTAAAATGTTCCTCTGTTAAATTTTGTGTGCAAATACCTGAAAGCTACATCGTTATAGAATGCTTGGAGATTTTGAAGAAATGTCCTGAAATCTAGAAATCATTGTTGATTAATCAACTGTGAAATTGCTTTTGAGAGGAGAACCACCTCAGGACATGGTATTACTCATTTAATTTTTGACGCCAATAATAAAAAAAAAATGCAGGAACTTTCAAAGGTCTATTTAGAATCAAGATCAATTTTTCCCACAAACTATTTTTGGACCATATCAATGAAAGTGTCAATAGTAATGATTTAATTTGAGAGATTTTATCCTCAGTTACAAAAATTGAAAATCGATTTTTACAGTAAACCTCTCGATTTTCTCAATTTTTGTTTTAAAACAAGTAATCGATTATTCCTTTAAAATAAAATTGTGGAGATGCCAAGTAGGCTTTTTGTTTACTTCAGCTGTGCAAGTAAGGCTAACTGTTTAAAGATCTGATTTTAGATTGATTTTTCATCATGTCTGATGCTGTCTTAGTGCTTTTCTACCTTACGTATTGTGACCATGGACCATTTAATCGGAACCCTCAAAATGTTGTTAAGGTCTACTTTTAAAAATCGACAAATTTCTCATTAATTTTTCTTTCAATTTTCAGGGAAAAAGTCGAAAGTGCTACTCGAAGTGGGAAAAGACTGAGCAATCTGCAATTACCGCTTATTGGAAATGGAAAATTGTATGGTATAACTCCAGTCTTTGCTCAGTGCCCTCGCTCATAACACTAAAGAACTTCTCTTTTTTTGATGGTTGTAAATAATTTATTTTAATACATCTCATTTAATTTATTCTTGTAATTTTCTAAGCTTCAAGTTTGTCTAATTTTATCTCCTGTGTAAAAAAAAAAAAGATCTTTAGTGCGGCAACTTTTTCTTAATAAATCTCTTAAATTTGAGCTTCTGGTTATCGTTTGTCTCTTTGCAGACCATCTAGTTTTTCCTGATTTCTCAGTGTGGCTTATCATTTTAGTTGCATCAGACCAAACAAGTTGAAATACAACTCAAAAATTAAAATCAGACCAATTTTATTAAAAAAGAAAACTGTTGAACTAAACAATGTTACAAATTCTATAATAAAATAAAATTACAAATGCACTTTAATTTACAAACGCTAAAATGTAACAATAAATAGCAATTTTCGATAAAATTGGATTATAAATCTAACCGGCTCTTGACTAAGTGAAATAAATTGTTTCACGAAATGTTACTGACGACTATCTGAGAGAGGAGAAAACAAAATTTTTAAATTAAGTGATTTTTTATACTTTCCAGTCCTCTATAACAGACTGAAAATGCAACTGTATTGCTAAACAGTTTCAGTTTTTAAGTTCAGTGAAAGCTAAACGAAAAAGATTCTACTTTTCGATTCATAATTACAAAATCCTTGAGGCCAAATAAAATTAGACTAGGGAAAACAAACTTTCTTTGATACTAGAACTTTAACTTGATAGAGAAACTTCAATGGTTTCCTGGATTTTATACAAAACTTTTTACAACCATTAATGTAAATAATTGAGTTAAGAAACAGATATTGATAGTGCAGGAAGCTACATATTACAATGTGAGAAATATTTGGATATTTTTAAGAGGGTTTTCCAATCTGATCAAATTTTATGTAAGACATTAAAAAGAGAGCAAATGGGTTGATATTAATTTTAGAAATTGGTAGTGATGACACAAAGTTTTGAGGAAACTATAAAGTGGATGACATGGGTATTTTATTTTTAAAATGAAAAATTATCTTCCACAAAAAGAGCATCTTTTGATTATATTAAAAATAAAAATGATGTCTATTGAATTATCATGAATTTTAAAATAATTATAACCAGGGTGCTCAAACAGTAAATTTTAGGTTTGATTTAAAGGGATGCGAAAAGAAAAGGTAAAATTTTATCTACGCCTAATTTTGATACGTCTTCTAACTAGAAAGTATGACAAAAGTCGAAAATTATTGGAACGATTGAAAGAAAGCTGACTGGACAGTCACGAGCAAAATAGAGTTTTACATGAACAATTTTGACAATAACAGAGACGATGAAAAAGAAGTAATTTTATCTACAAAATCGCGAATTGTACTTCCGCTAATGTTATAATGAATTGCTGTTACGAAAACCGCAATAATCTTCTGATCAAACCTTAAGTTGAGGCAGTAATTGTTATTAGAGATTGTTGTGTCACGGAGAGTCTGATGAAATACATCCCATTTGAAAATAATCTGAATTACAATACTCGTTCATTGACGAAACAACTACAACACTCGACTTCGAAAAACCCTGTAAAATGCATGGAAGATTTGAGAAACTATTGGCCAAAGTTGAAAACATCTGTTGTTTATCAGCTTTTCATGGACATTCACTTGGAAAATACCAAGTTTAAAACTGAAAATGGTTTAACTTCAACATTTTTGCAACATTATGGTCAAGGTTCTAGTGTACCTAAATTAATTTCAAAACAAGCTCTAACTTTCCGAAAAATTTTCTAATTTTGCTTACCTATTATATACACACATTTTCAAGAAATATCACATATCAGCGCAATTGCAATAAATAATAAAATAAAGACATGAATAAATACAAATTATAAAATAATATAAAATTTGGTTTTCCTCTTGTGGCATAAGGACGAAATAACTGACCTAAAATAAGAGAAATTTAAAAGGAAGAGAACATGGTTCTTATTTCGGAATTTCAGCATCATATGGAACTGTGAACGGATCCTAGGATTTCTTTTTCTTTTCGTTGAACTCGAAACAGAATTGTTTAATGAAATTCCAATTAGAGTATATTCTAATGCTGGTTGATTAGTCTATCGATTGCCTTTCAACCAGAAGGATTATGCTAAAGATCAATATATTGAACTTTTGAGACTTGCAAACTTAGATTATTGGAAAGCAAAATCAATAGAGTAAAAGAAACTGACCACTTCACAAGTAAAAAAGATACGCACCAGTCCCACACTGTTAAGAACTGTGATTGCACTGTGATTGTGAAAAATTTGTTGACATTTTTACTGAGTGAGAGCATGCGGACTCATAAAGGAACATGTACAAAAATAATCATTAATGTTAAAACAAAAGATTGCAAACCTAAAATAAGAAGAGTCCAACAGAGGAGGAATCAAGATTCATCTTATGAACTAGTAACGTACACTTATGGCATAGGCAATTCTAGAATAAATTCGTAAAGTTGCACTCCATCAATCAGCATGTCAAATTTGATCAATGCCTTACATTGCACATAATTCAAATAAGTACCAGTGCATGAATCAACTAATGAATGACAGGGCGAGACCCAGATTTGAGTTCCCAAACATTTATGAAAGCCCGAAGATTTAGTACAGGGGAGCCAAAATACTGATTAAATTACATCTTGCAGTGTTACAGACTTACTACTGTGCAATAATTTCTGTAACAATTCTTTCCTGTGACAAAGAGATATACTGTTCGGTGCAACAATAGTTAGGACCAATTAGGGAGACAACTGCTGACGCTTGTAGAGTCTAATTGGACCCATCATCAGTGCAGCGCACCAAACAGCATGTCTCTGAGCAGGAATATTGTGCTCAAATGAATTATTTCTCTCTGTAAAGAGCATTTCAGTTTCATACTGAATTTTACTGGCAAAATCATCAACACTCTATCGAAACGACTTGTGCGTTGAACCGCGATCTGTTCGCAGTGACAATCCTTCAGCCTGCTCAGAGCACGTTTTGGCTGAAGCACGACGAAACATAACAACATTGTTGCCAACTGGCAGAAAAAGTCCTAACTGAATGAACACTGTCCACCATCATTCAAACAAAATATGAATGTTTCACACTATGGCGCAAGTGTTCAGATTTGTATGCAAAATACAAAAAATTGAACCGTTGACATAATGGAGGCATAAAGACAGACACATAATGGAGATAATAAAGACTAACATTTTATAAATGTTAAACCGCTGACAAGAAATGCATAATAAAAGACTTAAAAATAATATCGAATTGATTAAACGCATCGGTGAGGAAATCATACTTATTTTTTTTTACTTTTTATGGTACTCATGGTACTCTGTGGTAAAAATTTTTGTGATAATATTATTCAATATTATCGCTCTGATTTGCACTCATTTTAAAGCACATGACCAGACCTCTATACACAATTTTCTGTTATAGTTACTTTCATTGCAGTCGTTATTTTAATACTGATGAATATTTCTCCAACTGAGAAACTTATTAATCTTAAAAGACCTTATATTACGTAAAATACACCCACAAATATGAAGATTTTTACAAATAAAGGCAACCTTATCCCATTCTCATGAAGTCTTTCTTTATTTGCACTTAAAATCATACAATAAACCAATGATGAATTTTGTTGTAGAATTAAATATTATAAAATTCTAAAAATTTTCACGCATTTTGGAAAAAAACAAAAAAAAACCTTTAATCGTTTTTCCTTTCTAGGCCTGAGATCATGCATTTTATTATCAACTATGAACATGTGTTTGACCTGTGAAGAGTACTGAATAAATGCTCAATTCTATTAGTATGTAATATAACCAGTTTTGTCGCACAGCACTTATTTTTTCTTTTTATTTTCACCTTTTACATCTTTAAAGTTTCAAGAGTATCTTTAAAAAACACATGCATTATGTACCAGTCTTAAATTATTGCACACACTTTTTTTTCTTCAAAAAAACTTTCAGAGCAGCAAGACTTATTAATGGTTTTAATGCACCAAATAAAGGGATTCTCACTCATTCCGTGGATTGAAATTGAACTCTACGGTTACCAAGCTATGCAGAACGAGGTTTTGGAACAATCATTGTCATCTGATAAATTATAGGTTGACACTAATTGGAAACTGCCGAGGACCTAGTCTGCTAAAATAAACGGATCGGAGGATAAAATTAAATAGAAGAGATAATTTTAAACTACTTGATTCTTTCAGCACCTCAATTTTTTTTGATCACAGGACACAAAATACATGAGGTTATACGCCAAACTTTTTATACAAGACAGAATCTGACGACAGGTTTTTGAAAATTTTACACTGAAAAAAAAAATTCCAACGTCAATTTTCTCAAAGTATACGCGCTTCAGAAATTCTATTTAATTCATGACGGCGATATCGATTTTTCTTTGAGCTTATTTTGGAAAAACAGGGTCTACCTACAATGGAAGATTCAAGGGATAACTTGTCTGTTTGAGGGATGAGTTGGATTTTAGGGTTTGAGTTGGGAAGCTGCTGCTGATGGAATTTGATACCCAAACATTGCCTTGGATGGATTATAAAACGAATTGAAAGACATAACTTAGCATGGAGTAGACAGCTGGTGTCTCTTAAAGTTGCAATGCAACAATGATAAAGCGAATCAACTGTGATACAACAAAAATGCATATCAACGGTGAAAGTACCAGACAACGTATCTCAGTTTGCGACGCTGTGGATTTCCTATCATACTATATTTTTTAAATAGAAAACTACTCAAAGTCGATTCTTGAAAACTTCCCTGTTTTTTCTTCTCTGTGCGAGGAAAACTCTGTGAGAATTTCAAGAAATTATATTGATTTGTTCTCCCTCCAAAAAATAAAATAGGAGAGCAGATTTTTAAACACCGCAAACGAGATACGTGGTCTGGTAGTTTCACCGTCGATATCTCAGTAGTGGTGTTTCAAAATCTTAACTCCTCTTTCATTTTTTGGAGGGAGACCAAATCAAAATCATGGCTTGAAATTTTCATGGAATATTCTTAATTTTTAGAGGAAAATCACCAAAATTTCAAAAACATTATGTTCGGTAGTTTTTCATGCAGAAAATAAAGTGTGACAGAAAGTCTGCAAGCCGCAAACCGAAATACACATATCTGCACTTTCACCATTCTAACAGAAAATATGTAACAACAAAGAATATAAAAATGCAGCGTCAAGTGAGGATTTCATTACATGGAAGAGGTCTCTTTGAAGAAATTTTATAAAACTCTGGCTTTTCATGAAGTGTTTGCAAACAATATTTGTGAGCGCTTATTAATTCCCGACACTGGCGTCTTTCTCTTTTAATCTCAAGTCTGTCCCTACTTAAGATGTGTTACTAGTCCTTAAATTTTGCACACGTAACTTTTTTTGAAACTCCCGCAAGTGGACTGACTTTGTTCGCATGGGCAGAGGCATTTACATAAAAGGAGTCTACCTACACATGTTATCCATAGCAGATAGACGTCTTTCAGGTAAATAAGTCTAAATCTGTCCTACTTTTCAAAAGTAGAACGGTCTAAAGTATCTGACAGGTAACAAATATCACTGATCGGAACGCTGATACTTCGAGAAAACAAAATTTCTTGGGCCTCACTTGACAAGTTGGGGTTTTTCATGGCCAAGTACAAAAAAAACTTAGAAGGAGCAATGTGAACAAAGGAACTGTTTCCTAGATGATTGATGTCAGCTCTGCAGATTTCTAGATTTAGGATCACTGCATCTTTGAGATTTCAAACCTGGTGGTCATGACTTCCTGTTGATGAAGAAAACAGAGAGGATTAGGATTGTTCAGTGAGCATAAATCGAACCGAAGATGAGAATCTAATACAATATTTCGAAAAAGTTTAGTGCAAAAACGACACTTTTCGCACATAACCCCCTCCCCTCCCCCCGATTTCCTCCAAACTTTTTCTATTGATTACTAATTTTGCTGTGCTAAGGAAGAACGCCGTATGAACATTCGAGAGTTGCCATATGTCCTTCGCTAAAATGTTTATTTTTAAAGAGAGTTATGAATATTTTTCCTTGACATTTTCAGGAACTTTCGGTGAAATTGCGCATAAAATTATCTGAAAATGTGTGAGAGAAATATTCATAATTTTATTAGGGAATTAGTATTTTATATAAGGAAATTTGGCGACACCTGAAGGTTTATATGGCGTTCTTCCTTAGCACAGCAGGATACTTGAGCCCTCCTTTTCCCACATTTTTAGAATCCAAAACATTTTGAGACGACTCCATGAGAGGTCGAAATCGGAACCTTTGTACCTCAGTACATCCTAAACTAAAAAAGATACTGAAATCTGATTTTCACTGGAACTAATCTGAAATTGTGCGCTTAATGATTCAAGAAAAGAGTATTCCAAGGTTTGATTTTCAGGCCTTGTTTCATGCATTTTAAATTTAAAATGGAGATATTATTTAGAGGAATAAAACATTAAGATCGCAATTTCAGTTCTGAGCCATAACCGAATTCTTAAATTTATCGTATTATTCCGCATTAAATTAGTGGTCATTCAATGCGGATAGCATGTCATTGCTAGTTGAGGTTAGCAGCAACATGTACGAGCGTTTCAGAATAAAATCTCTTCATCAGCTTGGAAAAAAAAGTCCATTATCACGGGGCTGACTGAGATTGACCGCATAGTTCATTTTCAAAGAAAAAAAAAATTTATCATTGTTAAGTTCCCTGTATTCAAGACGGACTTTCACGAAAATCCTGTGAAAAATGTAACCATGTATTTCTAATCTATGATTTTTTGATATGAAAAAATGTGATTAAGGAATCAAGGAAGTTCCACTGACCAGTGGCCATTTTCACAAGTTGGTGACGCAAGGTTTCATCCATTTAAATAAATGTAAAATATTATATCATACATACAACATGTAAATTTCACCACTGTTTGTAAAACGATTGATATCTTTTGAGGCAGACTATCTAACCTTGCGTTTATTACTCGTAATGAATTTAAATAGAAGAAAAATAGTGTTGCCTCCTTGCAAGGATGACACTTTGACTGATTTTATATAATGAATTTGAAAGCTGTTTAACGTACCTCATCAGAATCCAAAATTGGCAACGTCCTGCACAGAAATAAAACAGGAAATTAGATAATTCAAAGCAAGAAAGACATAGGAAAAATTATTTTGAAGTAAATTCAAATAAAAATAGGGACATTTTTGTATTAGGTTAAGAACTGACTCTGATTTAACTAAACCAAGCAAAAAAAAACTTGCACGTTAACTATTCAGACAGCTCCAACTAATAGCTGTATTTCACCTTTCCCAATCGGTTAGTTACACTACACATAGAATTTTGTTTTGATGATTTAAGCTTATAGACTAGCAATAAATAATCAAATCTGTTCAAACACCAATTTTTACGACCAAAATTAACAGAAATACTGCCCATTGGAAAACCCAGCATGTAACGTCATCCATCGCAGTAGTGCATACCATAGATCCTTTCACCTTGATTCCATCGATCACAGATGCACAGATTTGCACCAGAAGTGCAACGTAAAACAGAGATGAAGCCAAGATAATACGAGTGATGATGCGATCCTTACAAAAAAGATTGCAGTAATTCTGATTGAGGTCATCAGTTTTAGCAGAGATAAGCAAATATTTGGTAAAGAAAAACTAAAACACCATTATTAACTTACGTCTGTTTTTCTACAAATAGTGGAACGGATATCTTCTTTAATTAACTTAATCCAGCAAGAATTTTTTAATGAATTTTGTTTTTTTTTCAAAAAACAAGATTTATGATATGAAGAAAAAGAGAGGGAGAGGACTAGGGAATTAGAGTAGACTTACGTGTCAACCAGAGCGGTTGGGATATTTTCTTCCACCCACTTTAAATCTTCTTCCTGGAAAAAAGGAGAAAAAGGAATGAACTATCAGTAGCTGATTGGAAAAACAAGAAGTAAGTTGCAAAAATTGCATGTGAAAACGTGCATGTTATCAATTCAATCAAGACAACGCAAGAAAGAGGTGAGGTTATCAAAACAACTTTGCCAGCATTCTCTTGGACCCAGTTTTAATGATGTTTGTACATTTTTGAGGTCAAATATGAAACTGGTCAACAATCTGCATTTCGTATTTTTTCTATTTGCTGAAAAGTTAATTACTGATATGTACTGAGTGGATTTTTAGTTCTGATTTCAGTATTTGGAAGTATATCAAATCCATAAATTCCATAAAAATGAAGCATGAAAAAAAATTAGGCAGTCTAGAGCACTTAGGCTGACTGCAGTCATGAAGTCCATCTCAGGACCAATCCACACAGGTCAGTCATTGCGCATCTTTTTAAGATCACTCCCCCGCCCGGCCCTAACTCGACGGCACTCAATGCTACGTCACAATGGGTGCTCCCATGAGAAATACATTGCAGGCACTCAATACTACAACACTGCACAGTAGAGTTCCAAAACTCGTCCGCGGGAATGACTGACCTGTGTAATTTGGTCTTGATCCATATATAAGGAAAAGATGAGTCCCTTAAAAAAAATTACCTATCCTGACGATTGAAAATTCTCAATTCACCAAGGTTTAAAATTACTTGAAAGAGTTAATTACTTGATTATCCGTAAACCGTTTTGTCGCTATTCTCATAAAATCTTTTACTGAAATATTTTTACAAGCCTACTATAAAAATATTCCCTTTTTGTGGGGGAAAAATAAAAAATAAAAAAATAAAATCTTAACTTTGAAGTTCTTCTATCGTTAACTTACTGACCACTCAGTAAAATCGAATAACTTTTGAGACTAAATCTTCAATTAGTCTTTAATCTAGACCTTGAAAAAAAAACCTTTCTCCATGTTGCATTGTTTAGCTTGATTAGTTTCAACTGAAACACTAAAAAATAAGGAAACTTGTCGAAATCAAAAGTAAGTAAATCCACAGTTTTGACCTTCACCCAAATAATCTACCCCAAAGAGGTGTCATACAATCACACTTTCAATACAGAAATAATTCTCAGTTTTGACTTCTTCCAAATGGTCCACAGAAAGGACGTGTTCTCACTGTGGACCATTTGGAAGGCCACAATGCTCATCAAAAATATTTTTAGGGAGAGACATTCCCTAGTTTTTAGCATTGTAGTTAGAAATAATGAGAATAAAAAACAAAAGCAAAAAAAATTGTTTGAAGCTTCTTTTGCTTGGGTTATTAACTTTTTTGAAAGGTTTATGGCAAAGATAAATTGATGACATGAAAAGATTAAGATTTTTATCTTATCTTTGCTTCATTTGATTTATCCCATCGCAAAAATTCTAATTTTAGAGATAAAAGGATACAAAAATCAACTGCAGTAATTAAAGGAAGAAATTGAATATCTTACTGGACTATTCGTGGTGCTGGCTGATTTGTTTCTGGTTGGAGAGTTACTACGACTTCCAAAGCCTCTTAATTTCACACCTAAACAAAAATCAAACACTGTAACACAGTAGACAATAAAAAAATACAATATGTGACCCTCTGAAGGCAGAGAGATTCTAGCCCATAGAGTCAAAATTTTTGGTGAGGATTTTGCGATTTCAACAGAAAACTCATGTTTTTCACATTTCACAACAACCCAATTTTTCACAGCATGGTGTGATTTTCCTATTCATGCTTAAATTAAATCATAGACAATCCTGACTGTGACCAATAAATTTCGATCGAATCCCTACGTTCTGTTATTATTTTTTTCTTCCTACTTAAAAAAAAGGAAATTATAAGACTTTGCCACTCAGAGGTAGAGAGAGAGCTTAAGGTAATTCGACGGTTGCCATTTTTTGTGTCAGAGTGATGTGCAATATATCGCATCAAATCGTTCCATAATTTCAACTACTTGTCATTTTTTTTAATATTGAAATTGCACTTCTGTTGTCATGAGACTAAAGAATTCACGTACCAAATTTAACAAAGAAATTGAACGTAATAAAGGCAGGGTTTTTTAGAGGAAAAATATCGCATTCGATAATGATATCGAAACTGAACTCGAATGCAATATTTTTCCTCTAAAAAAACCCTGCTTTTATTGCGTTGAATTTCTTTGTCAAATTTGGTACATGAATTCTGTAGTCTCATGGCAACAGAAGTACAATCTCAATATTTGAAAAAAGTGACAAGGAGCTGAAATTATGGAACGAATTGATGCGATATATTGCGCATCGCTCTGACACAAAAAATGGCAACCGTCGAATCACCTTAATACTTAAAAGTTTGACCGACTAATGAATACAATAAGGTTGCTCCCAGAGGGTTTTCATAATTTTCAGGAACGTTGCTACAAACAAAATGGATATACTTACCATAGGCATCATTGATAAACCTTTCTTCTTCCTCATCCTCCTCGTCTTCTGATCCATCTAGAAGGGACGTGTGGGCATACCTAGTGAGAATAGTGACAGAACGTAGGATAATTAGATAAATATTAAAATCTGATGGCATATAAACTGAAACACTGTCTTGCATTAATTTGAAAGGCATTTTGACGGTGTAAGTCGGCAATCACATAACTCGGTTTGCGACGTCGCAGACTTTTTGTCATACTTTCTATTTTAAACGGAAAACTACTCACCGGCAATTCTTTAAAACTCCCATAATTTTTCTTCTTGGTGCAAAGAAAATTCTGCATAAACTTCAGGGAATGATTTCAATTTGTTCTCCTTTAAAATAATAACATAAAGGCGGAGATTTTCAGACACCGCAAACAAGATATGTGATTGCGGACTTACACTGACGATCTGACTGGTGAAATGAAGTGAAAATAAATTAGTATTAGCCTATCAGTGTATTAACAATTCTTACAAGTTCTGCGGTGAATGGACAAAATTTAATGGAAGCAAACCAAGTTTTTTGTACGATGCAAAACCACTTACATACCTCCAATTAACTGTTTAATCATGGATTTTTGATTGAACTGATTTGACTATTTACTCTTTCTACTAAAGTCGGTCCAAATTATACCTTGACAATTGACAAGTTTTAATTCCTAGTGATTAGACATTAGATGCAAAAATTGCAATATTTAACTTTTGTACAAAAATAATTCTAGAGCTGATGATGTTGAATTGTGCAAAATAGAAATATACTTCACACTCTTTTCAAAAAGAACCTGACCGTGTCAGGCAAGATTACTAGCATCTACATCAGCAAGGGTACTTGAATCACGGATCACAGAGAAAAATTGAGAATACCTTTGATTATTGTTTGTAGGCCTCCATAGGATCATGATTACTAATAATATAACAGAGAACAAGAAATGCCAGAATGCCTCATCTACCCACAGTTCTTTCCAATCCTGTCAAAGAAGAACAAAAAGAAAAGGACAATCAATGAGGAGAATTCAACGGAAAATATTGATCGAGTTTGATAGAAAGAAACCAAGTTTTTCGGAAAACAAAAGGTATGCTTGTTGGAGAATTTCTTTTATTAGGGAAAATTTTGCATTTCAAAATTTTAAATTTTACAAACTGGACGGAGAAAGTCAAATTTGCGGAAATCATGAAATTTAAGTGATTAAACCGTGATTTTATTTGAGTTTGAAAATAACTTGGTCCCCCTCTTCTGAATACATGGAAAGAGCAACAGCGATCTGGAGTAAGGAACCACTTGCACAGTTGGTTCCCTCTATAATTTTCTATTGGTAAGATATATTGATTGAAAGAAAGAAATCAACTGCACAGTGATACTCATGGAAATTCTATATGATAAGATGATTAGGGCTGAGCAAACTTCAAAGTGTGGATCTGAAACAAACCTGAACTGAACTTCAGTAAAAGTTCACTGACCCAAACCAAACCTCAAACCTAACTTCCAGAAATAAAAGCTTTTACTTTGCAATTATTCTTGCCAAAATAAGAATTTTTTTCCGTTTACATCAGGTATTAATGTTACCTTTTTGGGAATGTGAGAGCTTTAAGGACATTAATGATCATTATCAATTCAAAATTTGGTAGGGTCCAGAATTTTCAAAAGATCATTTCCTGAGATTTAAAACATTGTTAAGGTAAGGATGATTTCAGTATGAAACTGGATAGAACAAATTCAATAACTTCAATAAATGCTTGAAAAGCACTAAAAAATGTGAAGTAACCCTTAAAAAAGCTTTCAGGATGTTCCAGGCCTTCTTAAATCCAACCTCAAATCCTCACATTTGCATCTCCCCATACTTATGACAATATTTAAACGCAAATATCAAGATAAGGCTATTACCTTGAGACAGGCGGGAAGTCGAAAGGCTTTGATTGAGTACAACATGAAAATTATGGAAGCAACGACAGCAAATATCAAAGTATTGGTAAAATGTCTGTACAAAGTTAATTTCACTACATTCCTGCAAAAATAAAGGAGATGATAATTAAACAAACATTGTGAAGATGTGAAAAAAAATGCGTTAGAGTCCAACTATACTTGAATAAAACACCCCGGCAATATTTGCATCAATTTAAAATTACTTTTGGAGTGAAATATCTTTGGATAACAAAGTGAAAAAACTTTTCGACCATGAGCAGGCCGATTGATGAAATTTTGCATTTGTCTGTAAAACAAGACAAGACTGAGGTGTAATGGAGTTCCATGTGATTGGTCAGCTATGGTGCTTGGCTCAAAGATCTTTTTTTTTGGTTCTCTATCGCGTCAGACAGTCAACCCCTTTGGTTACTAACGACCAGTCCATTATCTGATCCATTGAAGAGAGAAGAAAGAAGGACCGTCTACCCAAGCACCACAAACATCATTCAGTAACTCCAATACACCTTGGTATTGTCTTATCAGAAAGACAAATAAAACATTTCAATTTCCCAGAATGCGGTCAAAATTTCCAATTCATAAAGGTTACAAACTAGTGGCACAATCGTGTTTTTTCAAAATTTTTACATCAGAAAAGTTGATTAAATCAAAAGTCCTCTTTGCATGCAATTACTGCATCATGACAAAATTGATATTACATGCTGGTTAAAAATTAACTATTAAGTTATACTAACCTTCTTAATCTAAGTACCCTAGTGGTTTGAACTAGGCTCGTGAAGATCCACCAGCAAATTGAAGAGTCCAAAATTGCTAGGGGTATAGAGGCAAAGTACATTGCTTTGGACATGTCGTGATATAAACTTGTCACTCGGACGTAAGCCTCGACAGAGGCAAATATAAAATACAAAGCACCGACACCTAACACCTGGTGAAGTACAGGTCCCAGCCTGGGTCTGTAAACAGAAGTTTATGATAACGAAGTTTCAATGAAAGTAAAAAGAAGTTGCCCTTGAGAAAACTACTACTTGAAATACAAAGTAAACTAAAAACAATTGAATTTTATTGTTTTACTCATTTGAATAGTCCCAAACATTTAATTTTAAAATAAATGTAAGTAGAAAAATTAATTGATCTCTGCAGAGGCAATGTATTCAGTACACAGGACAGAATTTAGCAGAAATGCACCAAGTTTGAACCAAAATAGAGAGGTTGAAAGTTTTACTTCTCCATGAAAAGCAAAAAATGTAACAAATGTTTTCAAGTTTTCTCAACTTCGAATTTTGACATGAGAAAATTGACAACTAGGTAAATTCATAGCTACTCCCGCCTAACGTTTTCCTAAAATGCGACTAGGTGTGTTCCTGTTAAACCTGCCCCAATTAATAAGCATTTCACTGCCTTAAGGCAGCTCCTGCTGCGCCAGCTTTTGGAAGTTTTGCACGGTATATTTTCCTCAAACCTGCGTTGATAAAATTGAAGCAGTGGTTCCAAGAATAAACGTTTTTGTACTTTTTTTTTGGAGGGTGGACATTCTTTAATGCTTTGTTTCTACAAAGAATGGTTCAATAGCAAAGACTTTCATAAAACCTAAATAAATAAAAAAACAGGAAAACCAGGAGTCAGATTTATAACATTACTAGAATACAAAATATTAAAGTCCTGACTTGCAGACATAGGAAGACTTACTTGACAATGCCAAAACCAACGCTGACAATTATGACTAGCATTCTGGCAAGAGCACGTTTTGCACAGGAAACCAGTTCCGCAATCATTGCAGCTCCATCAAGGGCTGATTTTCCTGTGACATTGATACTACGATACTCTGCGTAAAATGTTGCTTTCTCCAACATACCTGCATCAAATTATAATGCCATACAACAGGACTTCACAACATAAGAAATATGACCTTTCATATAAATGCACATAAGTTCAATAAAACTTTAAGAACATTTTCGCTACATAAATGTCACTTAAATCCCATGAAAAAAGATTTTTTCTTGCGAACAAAATCAATTATGCCTGTTGGAAGACACTTATTCTTAGCAGAATTCTGTGTAACTCCCTGAGGAATCATAGGTGGGAACTCAAAGATCAACACTTTATATTACTGTAAGTGTTCAGAATATTTAATTGAAGTTTTAAATTAATTTGGGACATTGAGTTAGATGTTAACTGAAACGATTTACTTCATATGAAATGAGTTGCTCCATGCAAAAAAAAATGAAAGAAATAAAACCAGAAATTTAAAAATGCTGCATTTTTAATTCCTGTATTTAGCTGGTCATCGATAGTCATTAAACAACTTTCAATAATGAAAGATCATGTTTAATGCTTCCAACAGTAAACTACTTTTTCTGCAAGAAACCACTCCTTCAGGAGCTATGACTCATTGAAAGGTATTAGTGACTAAATTTGAAAGATTTTGACACAAAAAGTCTCTTTTCTGAAGAAAAATTTTACATCACATGAGTTCAACGTAGCTCACCTAAAAATATGACTCCTCCTATCCAAAATTGGATTCGCAGAAGGTCTTGCCACTGGAGCGCAGAGAGAATCAACCAGATCACACCCAATATTATGTATATAATACACATTATTTCGTAGAACTGTAAGAGAAAATTTGAACCACATTTATAATTATTAAAACCCAGAATGTCAACCCTGAATCCTAAAAATAAAAAAAAAAACTTAAGAAATAAATTTTCATGCAAGTTATTTCATGGGTGCTGGAATGAACTAAAATGACAAAAGGTCACTAGAAAAGGTTTTAGAATAAAATCATAATATGTATAATATGTGTTCTTATCAAGAGAATAAATATTTTAAAAGTAGGCAAATTTATAAAAATCCAATTAAAAACCCTCAGGATATGAGAAAAAGTATAAGCCGATTTCATGGAACAAAAGACATAGTGAAAATAGGAGAGGCTCTCAAGAATTGAGATCGAATGTTTTGAATTTAAGAATTTTGTTAGCTTTCCTGTAAAGATTCTTCAGTGGCAAGGTTGTGTATTAATTTGATGAGAAAAATAAACTAAAAATAGGAGAATGTGCCTATCTGAGGTGCTATTGATTGAATGCATCAAGCGTAGGTTAATGCCCAAAGCAGGTTGGCTGCGAGTAAAAGT